AACAGACATTTGAGCATCATGGCTGAATGGGAATTTACATTCGGGATGTCTCAGTCCTAGTATGACATTCAAACTACTGCAACACACTGGCTTCCACATGTGATTGTGTGTCTGAGAGAGAGAGAGAGAGAGAGAGAGAGGGAGGGAGGGAGGAAGGGAGGGAGGGAGGCAGACAGAAATGGACTGTGAACTGAAGGTGAAGCACAGAAGAGGGCAGCATTCCTGGATGTTTCATAGTTGTGCAGAGGAGGAAATTTCATCAGGGTGAGTGTGCATTGCAGCTCTCCTCTTTTGCACCTGGATGTGGAGTAGAGCTCTGATTGCTCTGTAGGAGCGCTTCTTTGCCTCTACTTATGCTCTTACTGCATATTTTCCAATAAGTGATGTATTACTAAGAGTGCAATCCTTTGGCCTCCCAGCATTGTCTGCATGTCCATAGGATTTTTCAGAGCCCCAGAACTGAGACCCTGCAATCCCAGTACTAGAACTCCATAGTCTGAGGTCTAACCCAACCCTGCTCACAGCTGGGGCAGAAAGCACCACAATGGTTGCCCCTCTGTTAGCATAGATGCTCCTTACAGAGGGGGAAAGGTGGACAGCAGGGAGGAGAGGATGCCAGGGCTGTATTCCTATGGGTGCTCTAGCCTCCTTCCCTCCTCATCCCAGTGTTTTCTCTGAAGAACCAAAGTGCCCCTCCAGATAAAATGCATGGGGCAAGGCATGGCAGTGGTAGTAATCAGTGCTGCTGCATCTTGCTTCAGCCCTGGAGGCACACATGCCTCCAAGTTCAGGGCTTATATGCCTCAAGGGCAGGGACAATAGAATTGGGGCACTATAAGGCTGCAATCCGACATCCACTCCCCTGGGTTAACTCCCATGCAATGTAGTGGGAGGTACAGCTGAGTCAGGAGGCATCACATTTGCACTTCAAATCTCCAGTATCCTCTCATTTGAGGCAAAGAGATCTTACCAGCCCTGTTCTGATAACAGGGCTTCTGAATCTTTCTGCCACTTGTTGAGCACTGCAGATAACAGCATCCTTGCTATGGTGAGTTACGACTGAGCTGCTCCTCTTCCATTCTCCTCAGGGTGCTGTCAATTCCACAGGCTTTCCCCCCAAATTTTTAAGCTCCTGTCCAAGTACTTCAAGGCTTGGAGAACTGGAATTCTTCAGAGGAGTTGTTCATGAACTTGGCAGTGTGCAGAAAAGTTAGGGCGCTCTTGCTCAATGTGGAAGGACTAAATTCTACAATAAAAAGAAGTAAACTTTCAGCACTATTAAGAAAAGAAAATGCTGATGCACCTACAATAATGAAATGGCTCCAGAGGATAGGCTCAATAGCTTTTATGTCAAGGTTGATGCATTTTATTAGCATGCATGAAGATAGACATCAAAGTAGCACACTTATTAAAAACTGGACTTTTTCATTATGTAGTAGGGTGATAAATACTTTGATAATGTTAACCCGTATGCTAGATTCAGAAAAATGAAATGAAAATTTTATTAGCATTAAAATGCGCTGTGCATTGATACGGGCCGTGCTGTCTTTCTGCCCAGTGGTGTGGCATGACCAGGCAACCAGTATAAGTGTTGTTAGCTAGTTACCAAAAAAGCAAACTTGTGCACTGCTTCAGGATTAAAAGAAGATACTGCTGTTCTGGTCTGCCTAGCCTCTGCCCCTGGCTGAGCACTGACTATAGTTAATTATTTGCATAGGTATTCCACCTTTTCTGCAAAGGGCTCAAGGAAATGCATATGATTTCCCCACTCTCGATTTATCCTCACAGCAACCCTGGGAGACAGGTTAGAGTCCGTTGGACTGAGAGACAAGAGAGTGGTGAGTGCCCTTTATGCCTCAGTGGGGATAAAATGGGTCTCCTTTGTCCGAACTCAGCATTCTCCCCACCACAATGTGCTGGATCTAAAATCAATAGGTAGCCAGGTAGGGATCTTAGCACAGGGTACAGAGAAGGTTGGATCATATAAGGAGGTACAGACTCCAAGACAACAAGGCAAGAGGCAATGAGCAGCAGTACCTAGATGGGGATAGACCATCCGTCTCTCTTTTGTGAGTGGATTCAGCAGTTCAGACCTATTCAGATCTTGTGGAAGGCTCAATGTATATCTATCATGCACCCATATCAGCAGCTGACCTGCAGCCCTTCCAAGCAACCTTGCAGCTTTCTACAGATATCCTCTATCTTCATCAGGGGTGGGAAACCAATGGTTTTCCCTGTGTGTTTTTAGGTTGCAACTCCCATCAAGCCTGACCACTGGCCAGGGGGTTTAAGTCCAACGAAAACTGAAGGGTCACATGTTGACCAAAGTTACTGGGGCAGCAAAAGTTTGCTCCAGCTCAGAACAGGCCTAAAAATGCGCCAGGTGATTAGGAAAAGGCCCTTTTCTGAGTGCTGTTTGGAAAGCAGTCTTGGACTGCCTTCGCGGAGCCATAGTTCCACTTCATTCTGCACTAGTCAGACCTCATCTGGAATTCTGGACACTCTAAGAAAAACATCCTGAAGGAAAGGAGAAGATTTGATTGAAGTTACAGGATGGTGAAGTTTGGTGGAACATTAGATGAAACATCTTATTACCAATGAACCAGGAGGTGGGTCGTCTCTTGCGGGACGTATTTCTGTATGCAGAAACTCTTTGATCATCTGTTGGGAATGCTCCAGCTCTAGTGTTCATGCATTAAATGAGGGTTGGAGTTGATGGTCCAGATCTCCTCCAGTTCTCTGATTAGCAATGGCTCTCCAGAGTCTCAGGCAGAGAGGACTTTCCTATAAAACCTGGAGTCTTCAGGATGCAAGGCATGAGCTCAAACCACCAAGCCACAATCTCTTTCCAGAAACAGGTGGCACACTTGTGTAAGGAGCAGAGTTTTTGTAGTTCCAGACCTTGAATGGCCGTCCTATGTTCTTCCTTAGTTTCCCTGTAGAGTTGTGAAAGCTCTTTTAAACTGCATTCCTATGCACACTTATTTGGAAATAAGTTCCACTGAATACAGGTGAGCTTATTTATTTCCTATTTATTGATGATCAGGAGGGCATTTCCTTGCTCATTTTGGCTAGCTAAGCTCCTGTTTCCGGAGTTAAGCCTTTTCCTCACGGCTGTCATCGTCTTCTGACCTGCTGAACTGCAAAGCATCCCACTTCCTGGCTAAAATGTCCTGACCTCTATAAACTGAACCAAATTGCTGAGCAATAATGTATTAACCTTTTGGCTGAAACTGACTAGCATACACAAAAAGTAAAGTAACCACAGTTACAATATTCTAAAATCCAAAGTAAATGCCAAAATGGAGGATAGTAATGCTCCTTCATATATGTTAAACATTATATAGGTTATAGCAGTCCATGTGTAAATGTTCAAACAAAACCCTTTTCCCACTTTGCATAAATACAGGCAGGAGGAAAATGCTGCCAATACCACTTGTGAGTCTTTCTGGGTTTTCTTAAGCCATGAGGTCAATTTGTGCCCATGTGTATTTCCCAGACTTTTTGTAATACCTAAGAACCTTCAAATAACCCTTCCATAAATTGCAAAGGGCATCTACCTAATGTTTTGCAGCATGGATAACTGAGTGGCAGCCAGTAGGCAATATTTAGACCATGGGATGATTTCTCCAGTTCCCATGAGATAGTGTGAAACTACTGGTAGTTTAAAACAGCCTTAAAGAATATCCCTGGCTGCAGCAGAGGCTGATCAGCCCAGAGTTGGCCAGCACTATCAATAGTTCCTGCCTTAGGAGATGGATTGTAACTCATTCATAGGCTACATCTCCTCCATGCAGAGGACCAGCTTTCCCTAACAGGCACCCTTCAGATATGTTGGTCCGCAACTCCTGTAATTCCCATTGGCCAAGCTGGATGACATATAATGAGACCTGCAGTCCAGCACATCTGGAAAGCATTCACTTGAGGAAAGCTAGCTCATATCTACAAATTAGCATGTACAAATATTATTTAAATTGGGGTCTTCTGTTCTGGCAGGGGCCCCTGCATGTGAAAAACTGGATATGTTGGTCTGCAACTTGCATAATGGCCAGATGACTGGAAATTGTGACCATGGTGGTCCAGCACTTCTGAAAGAAGCCACTTTGGGAAAATCTGCACAAGATGATTGACCATGCAGCCAGCAATAATGGAAGTCCTGGAGGGCGCTGCCTTGCAGAAAGCTGGCCTAGGCATGCAGTTATTGTGTACAAATACAATTCAAACTGTGGCTTGATTGCTTAGTGATGTACTTCCTCATTGCGGTGATGTGTATATGATGCTCTTCCCATAGGGAGGGCAGGGCTTTCTAGGGCACCAGTTCAGATTAGACAGCGCATCCTTAGGGTTTTAAAAAGCTTTATTTACCTGTTACTACATTTATACTCCACCTTTCTTTCCTTTTTGCAAAAAACCCAAGGCAGCTCAGATAATCCCCCTCCTTCTCTCCATCTTATCCCCACAGCATTCCTGCCAGGTAGGTTAGGTTGAAAGTTGATGGCCAGCTCAAGGTCACCCAGGGAGCTTCATGGCCAAGAGGGACTGGAACTCAGGTCACTACACTGGCTTCTCAGTGCCATCCGGGTCACTCAACAACACTCCTTCCCATGCCTTTGTTGAGCTATTATACAGACCCTTCCCGTTAGCAGACATTGCCTTAGGAACGGCCCTAAACCAAAGGATGTTATCATTTCCTCAGGGCTCTGAAGTCCCCAAGCCTGTTGCTTATAATAGCACACCTGACTTGAGAGAAGCTCTTCTGCCAGTCATGTTCTTTCCTTTTGTTTTCTGCAAATAGAACAGCGTTGATGTAATTTCTCAGAAAGCAACCAGTGCTACGGCTCTCCCTCATTTTTTTTAGCAGACTTACCTTAGGGGGACATCAAACTTCAGAGGGGCTGGGGGTTTCCAAAAGCACATCTGTATTGGACAACTAGCATATTACACAGCTGGCTTGTGTTCTTCAAATGAAGATGTTAACTCTTCACACTTATTTTCTGCAGGTGAAGCCTTCCTGCCACTCAGGACACTGTTGGCTGTCACCTCAGAAGGAAAGACATTTACATTTAATCTTGCCAATGCCCTCTACCTTCAAGAAGGATTCATGGTGAAAGAACAGTATCTCCATAGCAACAAGGAATTTTTTCAGACAGTTGTAAAGCTGGTGAATTTCCAAGATACAAAAGCTTCTGCAGAGAACATAAGTACTTGGGTAGAAAACAAAACAGAAGGTAAACAAAAAGCCTAAAACCCACCACCCCACTTGCTCTGCAGCTCCTTCCCTTTTGCTTGCTTCACAGTGCTTTGTGGCTTATTCATGGCTGAGGTACGGGGGTTAACGATGCATGCACATGCCTAAAAGCATACATATTTGGGAAAACCCTAACCCACTACAATGTGAGGGTGCCCAGGGCTGCTCCAAAAGTGCCTTCCAACCCTTCCAGGTCCATTAGGGCAATGTGCATGGGAGGGGAATTGTTCAAGAAAAACTGGGGAGATATATAAGCAATCAGATGTGTCTCCTTTAACCCCACCTGATTGCTTCTGAAGCAGCAGCTTCCACCAGTTTCTTGTGGGTGGAGCAATTCTTCACTGTTTGGTGCCATCTTGACTCCAGTGCATCTGAGGGAAGAAGGAGGATCCCTTGTGGGTGAGGTCTTTTCTTTCTGTTTCTTCTTGAGAAGCATCAAGAGGTGTGATGGTTCTGAATCGTCAAGAGGTCCTCCCACTTGTTGAAAAGTGACAGGAAAACAAATGAAGAAGGAAGGCATTCTGAAGCATGGGTAGGCTTCCATGTTCCTGGAGATCCTCAAACATGGGCTCCGTTCCTGGCGAGTGTTGTGTGAACAACATCTTTTGCAGCAGCACAAACAAGGCTGTGGCATGCAGTGCAGAAGCGTGTTGCAGCTTGCATGGCTCCACTCCTATGGGTGCACTCGCCAGCGACTCAGACTCACAAGCCTTGGCAAAGCGGGGCAGAGTCAGGGGAGATGAGCTCAGTGAATCCAATGGATTCTCACCCCCAAAATGGATACCTCACACATCCCTATCCACAGCATCCCTCCAGCATGATGGGTTTGAATTTCCACCTGCCCAATCTCCTCAACAGGCACGACACCTCTGATAATGGAGGTAGCACATAGCCAGAAAAGCTAGTTGTCATCTCCTCCTCCAAGAAAAAACCTTCCTCTGTCTCTCCAACTCTCCTGCTATTCACTTCACTTTACCTGCCCTAGCTACAACTGCACAGCAACTGCTGCTCTGTACCTTCAGGTGTGACCTTACTCTAACACAGTTGTCTCACCTGGAAAGGGTAAAGCAGTTGGTATAATCACATTCCTCCAGTTTGACTCTACACTTTAGAGCTGAGTGTCACCCCACAGAGTTGCACCTGTTAGGACTAGATGACATTCTGCTAATGGTGTAGCAGAGACCTTTAGTTGCAGTGCTAGGAAAGTTTAGGCAGAAAAAAATGTTCCAGTAAGTCTGAAGCCATGTGTGAATAGCATCGGTACCAGGGTCCATCACCTCATTGGACTAAAGTACTCTCTCTTTCTGCCACTCTTATTGTTTACTCACTGACTGGGTTCAGACAACACAACTCAAGGATTGTGCTTGGGTCACTTGTGCTTGGACAGCTGAAGCATGGCTTCTGTGCTCTGAACCCTGTAGCACTTACAACCAATGAAAAGAAGCCATGGTTTGTTCTTTGGTTGTGAACTGAGGGTTCTTAAGCATGGTTTGTTGCCTCAGCTGGGTTCAAAAACATGATAGCAGCTGATTGATTCAATAATAACTGATGGTTGAAAGACAATCCACAATCAATCTTCGAATGTGGGTAATTGTGCTGTGTGAACCTAGTCATAATTTAAAAGTTATACTGAAAATGACAACTGGTCCCTGCCCTATTTCAGGAGAAAGTTTCAGCTGTGGAGCTGCCTGATGAAATAGGCAAGCCTTTGTCCATTTCACCTTGCTTCTCCAGACTTGCTACAGAGGTGCAAAAAGACCTGTTGAGTTTTCACCCTGAAAACATCACAGCAGACTTTCAGTTCTGTGCAAACATGATTTTTAAAGAAAGCAAAGGAAGAGAAGGAGACATGAATACCAGTAGAGCTGGAGAGACAGAGGAAGGTTTTCCCTTCCAAATTGCTGCTACAGGGTCAATATAATGAGCAATCATCCCTGAACAGAGTTAGTGCTAGAATAGTGTTAGCCAAAAAGGGAAAAAGTGTTTTTGTTAACATCTGGAAGCACCTTAGAAAAGGTACACCTATTGATTTTCTGTCTCTTGCATATGTCTTTGAAGCACAAGCCCTCTGTCCATTAAAATGCGTGGCAATCATATATTTTAAGCTCATCCCACACTGTAGGGATTTTCAGCTTTCTCTGATCTTTTTTCTACTGCAAGCTTTGTCCCTTTTCACTGCTGTTAATGGTGGTTCCAGAAATTTACTTATTCTGAATATAAAGAAGTCTAATGTTTAATCTGCCAAAAACAAATGCTCCATTTCCCACATTTCCTGCAAATCATTACTAAAATAGAGAAATGAGTTCAAGCGCCTGGCTACCTGTGTCAATACAACGTTGCAGTGCTTCAGGGTGAAACCTGCAACAAAACTGAGAAATGTGATGTCACCCTAGAGCTCCAAGCAGAGGATCTGGTTAAAGGTCAATGGCACAACACTGGCTTAGCTCCAGCGGTGATGGCTTGTCCCGCAAGAGAAATCAATGAATTGAAATTTCACATCAGTTTCATCCCAGAATTATGGCAGTCTGCCCTCCACCCTTCCTCCTCTCCCCCTGCTTCTTTAGCTGAATAGTAAAATTAGGTATTATGTGAACAAATGGCTTGCCAACTTTTCAGTTGGGTTTCTGTAGCTGAGCTCTAACAGCAACTTGATCTGCCGTACTTGGCAAGTGACCACTTTTCTCCCTGTGCAATGCAAAGCTTTCCTTGATCAACTCTGCTCATCAAGCCACTGTCAAAGGGCACAGTTGCAGGGACCAGATGAAAACACCCCCATCAAGGTGTTGCAGCAACACTTTTGTACTTTTCACTTGGGCTGTATGTTTAAAGCAAGGATGGGCTCCAGATGTTGGGCAGGAAATGGGTCTCCAGATATTGCAGACTTCATCTTCCAGCATGCCTGACCATGAACCATACTGGGAGAGCTTCTGGGATGTAAATTTTAAAAATCTGGTGGTCTACTTCTGCCCTTCCTTTAGTCTCAAGGAACTTGTGCATAGGATTACTGCTTTACAGCCTGATCCTAACTAATATTTTCCACAGCTTAAGCTCCACTAAGTTCAACAGGAGTGGATTCCTACAGCATATGCTGAGGATTGCCCCTTAATCTTATGATCATACATCCATTGTGGATGTCTTTCTACTGTGAATTGTGGTTGCTCAACAGGTGACCAACCACAGGTGCGCACAGAGTTTTATGGACCTGTCTGTGTCTCTTTGAAGAGGGTAGCCATAGGTGTGAGAAGATGCTGCACAGGGGCATCATCAACACTCCCCCCAAATCTCCACCTGTATTCAGCATCCCAGACTGTGCGTGTTTCGGCTGCACCTTGTGTGCACTGCTAAACAAGTAATCGGTATTGTCGTCTGTGATTTTGAGTTTCAGTGGCATTGGTTAATAGTAGACACCTGGGAGGAGAGACCGGGGGCGGGGGGGAGGGATGTGGACGTGCTGCTTTTAGCAGCAGGAAAGCCTACTCTAGAATCATGAGTATCTGACTGAGTGGGGATTTCAAACTTGCTTTAGAATCTAGAACTCAGAACCTAGTCCAACTCTTCATGCTACATCACACCTGTCCTCTTGATGGTGTTTCTTAGAAGGCAATTTATTTGTTTTTTCGTACTTCACCAAATCTAAGGAACAAAATGATCACATTGTCAATCTCTTCCTGCATAGGTAAAATAAGAAATCTTGTTGCAAGCGAAGATCTTGGTCCTCTGACCAGACTTTTGCTGGTGAATGCCCTTTACTTCAAAGGGGAATGGAAGCAAACATTCAAAGCGTCAGACACCAGTTTGATGGCTTTCAGAAAGAGTGATGGTTCCGTAACTGAGATACCGATGATGCATCTTCAGCTGACAACCAGTCTTGGTAATTCAAACATTCCTTCGTGCTCATGCGGCTGTGTTCAGGCAGAAACAGTTCTAATGCTGCAAGAGCAGCTGCTGTGCTGGTCTTTCAAGTGCCATGTACGATCCAAAATAATACCACTGAATGTTTTCCAGTAGAATTTAGAGCAACTGTGTTCACCAAGGAGCAAGAGCTATCCATAATTCTTTAAAGAATTGCCTAGGAGTGCAACCTTAGGCTGGTCGAGGCATGCTGGGACTTTTTTCTGACTAAATGTGCATAGAATTGCACCCCAAAAATCATGAGCCAATTATTTTGTTATTTATTTAACCCACACACTGTGTTCTATCCTATCAGGATTTCAGGTTGGTGTATGACTAATGAGACATTCTTGTCACCTAGAAGCTGATAGGTGGGTTTACCATCCAGGAGTCCAGAGGATGGGTTGTATGTCATATCCTATAGAGCTCCTTCCTTTTTTCATAAGAAAAATCTCTGCCTGGAGACCCCTCCTCATTATTTCTGTTTGCTGCAGGCTCTCTTCTTCTTGCTGCAGTATTCAATTATGCTGCAAAAGCCTGTCTTCCGCTGATTTAAAGGCCAAGCTGGTGTTCGTTCTTTTGAAAGAAAACATAGTGAGCCCTGCTGGTCTGTAAGAAAATAAAAATCCCAAATTTACCAACAGACAATACATTTTTAAGACCAATTAAAGTGTAGAAAACCATGGACAAGTTTTTAGGAGATGTTTCAGGATGAGACACATATTTAAGTAGATTAAACTCTACCAGGTGTTATGTTAGGTTCAAATTACATCAAGGACTATTGGGACAAATGACGTCTGCCTACCAAGGATCCTTTGTGTTTTACACAATTGAGGAATGCCTGGATTTTTTTTTTTTAATTTTCAAACACAAAGGAATCAACAATCACATGTTTCTTTGTTCAGATAGTCCTAGCTGCAACATGAAACCTGCATGTCACCTATTGGAATGTAATATCTTCCTCCGCTCTGTTTTAAAATTCCAACAGTGCAGATTTTATGACATCGGCATCAAAAACAGCCTGAGTTTAATCTCTCCCTGCCTTTGCCACTTTTTGTCAGATGTTTCCTACTGAAGAGATTTGAAGGTCTTGAAAATTTGTGGTCCCCATTTTGTGCACCTTTGTTTGATCCCTCCCCTCAAAATAATATTGCCTTACCAAGGATTTTGTAAAGTGTTCTTTTGGACAAACATCGTGGCTGGAAAACCTAGTCTTTGTTCACTCTCCTCCCCACATCTTGATGCATCACTGCTGAGATTTTTTACCCTCCAGTTCTACCCTGTACTTGAACATGCTGTTGAAGATCTGCTGATCTCATATTCCCTCTAGATACTCTGCCCTTTGTCCCTCATCCATCCATCCATCCATCCATCCATCCATCCATCCATCCATTTTAAACATACCTATTGTGCCATAGCATCTCCAGGCAGCTCACAATCAATTGTTGATCAATTGTTGTTGTTGTTAGTCATGAACTCATGTCCGACCCATCGCGACCCCATGGACAACATTCCTCCAGGCCTTCCTGTCCTCCACCATCCCCCGGAGTCCACTTAAGCTCATACCAACTGCTTCAGTGACTCCATCCAGTCACCTCATCCTCTGCCGCCCCCTTCTTCTTTTGCCATCTATTGTTCCCAGCATTAGGCTCTTCTCCAGGGAGTCCTTCCTTCTCATTAGGTGGCCAAAGTATTTGGGTTTCATCATCAGTATCTGGCCTTCTAAAGAGCAGTCAGGGTTGATCTCCTCTAAGACTGACTGGTTTGATCACCTTGCAGTCCAAGGGACTCGCAGGAGTCTCCGCCAGCACCACAATTCAAAGGCCTCAATTCTTTGGCGCTCAGCCTTCCCTATGGTCCAACTTTCACAACCATTTAACAATCAATTACTGCCCACCAAACCTGTGGAGTTATCTCCCAGAAAACCTGTGTGATGCCACCTCTCTTACAGTTCTTCCTTCAGTGCCCTCCTCAGGATGTACCATTTCCATCAAGTCTTTGGCACAATCCCTGCCTCACTGCCCCTTGGCATGCAACCAACCCTAAGCACGTGCATCTAAAACAACTGTGTATTTAGGGTGGCCACTTAGGATTTGCCAAAAAAGATGACAAAAACACATTGCAGAGCAAGAGGACAGTGATTTGCATGAAATTCACTTATGCTAATTTAGATGAAAAATCAGAAATGCTGGTTGCAGTTGAAATGGGAATACTTCTCACCATCAAGTGGAATTCTGCCTGCCTCTTTCGTCTGCTGCTCAGGTGCTAATTCTTGACGTGCAACAGTTCTGTCTGCTCTTGACTTTACAGCCAGAATGGAACGAGACAATCCTTCAGTTGAGGACACATTGAAATAGCAAGCAGTCCTCTGGCAGCCTTTCAAAAGCAGGATTGTCCTCTCTAAAGAGGGTACATAACCATCCCTGCTTCTCCCTGCCTCCCCTCCCTTCCCCACCCCTGTGTCAAATGTTAGCCTGCAAGCTCTAGTCTAGACTGTGGCCTGTCTCCTTATCCCTTGTAAAGATTTGCATACACGGATAGTACCAGATAAATGGATGCAGAATAGCCCCACAAAAGATTGCCCATGGCACAAAACACAAGGGAGCTGCTGTGGGCTGTGAAACAGTAGTACGTTGCTTCCTGCATGGTGCTGCTGCTGCGTTCCAGTGCTTGCACTGTAGAGGCACGTGGATTAGAAACTTGATGCCTCTACCTCCCCCACTGAGAAATGTAGGTGTGAAGTGAGCTGAAACCTGGAGAAAGAGAATTCTGGGAACCGGGACCATCTCCAGCTTTGTATAGGATGATGGTCTCTGTAAACTCACCAGACCCGTGGGCCTTCTAGTTATGGCTGTGCTCCCCGACTCATCCTCTCTCCCTCTTTCTATGAAGGGCTACTGTAAATGTCCACAGCAGGGCAGGGGAGGTGGAAATGGTGGTGGTACTTCTGGCTGCATGGTTGGAAAATGGTAGGGCACCTTCTGGAGGGCTGGCATCCCTTCCTTGCCACTGCCCTCTTCTGCTCCTCAACCATCTCAGAAACTTGCTCACCATGTTTCCTCACACTCCTGCACTGGCTTCCACATCTCCCACTAACTAGAATGGTTAAAAGCCTCCAAAGGAAATAGGAGCAGAGAGAGAGGCAAAAAGAAATTGGCTGGTCAAGGTCAAGGGGAAGAGCTGAAGGTTACACAGGCACAGGGTCTGTACAGATCGCTTCCCTGCTCAGGCATCAGCCTGTAACTGGCTTGGCCCATGGTTGGTTCTCATACAGTGCAATCCTATGCCTCTACTCATAAAAAGGGCCTGTTGTTCAGAGATAAGTGCAGTATTGCATAGTGATCAGAGTGTTGAACAGGAACTCAAGAGTTCTGCGTTTTAGTCTCCATTCAGCCTGGAGCTCAGGCATTGCTTCTTAGGGTGGTGGTTGTGAGGATACAATGGAGAGGAGGAGAACGTTTGTAAACTGCCTTGAATTGCTTGCAAGAGTAAGAAAGCTGGGGCATAAATGTAACATCATCACCATCACCTATGCACACTCACCTGTGTAAAGTGAATTCAGTGAGACTTACCTGTAAACTTACCGAAAAATTCTGCCTGAAGCTTGGGAGAACTGTTGTTAGTCTGTTCTTACAGTTCTGAGCTCAACAGACCAATAGCCTGACTAGTCTAAGGCAACCTCCCACGTCCCTAAGTAAGTGCCCCTGAGTTCATTCACTCCCAGGTAAGTGTTTATAGGATTGCTGCCAGACAGAACTGGCTGTGGTTGGTATCCAACCCTGAACCCTTCATTGTCTGGACATGCATGTTAGGTCCTCCCTGCCAAGGGCTCAGAGCAATTATTAACATATTCACTTATATTAGATATCGCTGTGGCAGGTGACACATTACTTCCATTTTAAGCTTCCCTTCTTAGTTTTATTTTTCATTTAATCTCTTTTAATCTCCCAGTGGCAGTGTGCTCCCCATGGTGAACCCCAGCACTGAAGTGTTCACATGAAAATATCATTTAAACTTATTTTGTATTTCCTCTTCCTTTCACCCCCACCCCCCCATAATACAGATGGCTTTAAAGAGCAATGGCAAAACACATCAATGCTGCTTTTGTCAAAATAGTAGAGCTGCAACAATGACAATCCAATTAAATCATCTGTTGCAGTACATGACAAATAGCTTCCAAGTGTCAAGATCTCAGCTTGTTATTTTTCTCTCTGTCTTCCTTCTATGAATTTAACTGAATACATTAAAATAATACTGTACAGAGCAGATCAAAATCTCTTCCTTCCAACCAAGCAAAGAAGTTACAGGTTTCAGTTTACTAGCCAGATAACTTACAGGGCATGAGGGCAGATGTAGGCAACATGGTACCAGCATTAATACACCCCTAGGCAGCTCTCTTGGCTCTACCAAGATGCCCTAGTACCCCCTTTTTTAATGAATGCATTTTGTTTCTAGGAGCTGGAATAGCTGTGAAATGGGTTTCCTTTGCTGCTAAAATTCAAAGGAGTTTAGTGTGTTGGAACTCAAATTCCAGCTCAAACTTGCAGGTGAAGCAAGCAGATAAATTACATCTCTGGCATTCTTGCCATCTCACCCTCAAGCAACAAGAGCCCCCCTGAAGGTAGAATCAGAAACTTTACTGGAAGGAAGGGAAGGAGAGCAAGTTTCAGTTTGGATTCACATTTTCACATGGGCACATGCTTCTCCAACATCTCAAGGAGAACACTACTTTGATTTATACTGTTCTGTAAACTAAAGTTTTTGTTTTTTTTAAAGAATATTGCTTCTTAAGTTTCATCTGAGTCTGCTAAAGAAAGAAATTGACCTTCTTCCAACAAGTATGACTGTGACCAGGGGACTTGTGTGCCTGCTTCATCTGCTGTCCCGGTGCAACTTCAAGGCCAGCTTTCCCTTCAGGGTTTTTTATCTTTGGATGGGAGAGCCCTTCCATCAGAGGACACTTTCAAAATAGAGGAAACGCCTCCAGCATCCCTTCAAATAGAGAACTGTTCTCTGCAAAGAGGACACACAGACACACTGCACCCCACTCCATTCATGATATACAAATGGGGTATTACACTGGTATTGCACAGCTCTGATACAGTTTACTAATTGCGTCTTGCTACTTTCTTTCCCTTGTTTGAGGGCAATTTTCTGACCATAACATAAGTTACCAAGTTTTGGAGCTGCCATACAAAGGAGAAGAATTCAGTTTTGTTCTAATCCTTCCTGCTGAAGATGTGGCTATAGAAGCGGTAGAAAAACTCATTACGGCTGAGCTGATAAAAGACTGGTTTGCTGGGATGGAAGAGGTTGACGGGGTAGAAATCAGCCTTCCAAGGTGTGTAATGAACTCCATGGTGGTCTGGCTTTCTCATTATCCCTTTTGATCTTAAATCCTACTTGTGGGAGAGTTCAGGAATTAAGACACTGAAAAGGGCAAACTGATTTACTGACTGGGGAGCTTTGCAGTTATTTAAGCTAATGGCAGTTTATGCTTAGTAATTTCTCCAGTGTGTGTAAGAGAAATGGAGGCCTGCTTTGGAGCTAATTTTGCAGTGGAAGTACATGAGTTCTGTGCTGAGATGCATTGTAAACAGGTGCCCCCCTACATATAACCAAGGAGAGGGAGATGCAGTACTGAAACCCCCCACTTGGTGCTCCAACTTGGGCTTTGGCTGGGGATAGGTATTGAATACCCATGTTATGGGCCCACAAAATGAGCAACATGCTCTGATTTTTCCTTATTCTCCCCCATACATCTTTCTTTTCCATACATTTGACCTTGGGCACACTTAAATTCATAGTGGCTGGGAAATGATTGCAGGACTTTCCTCTATTTAAATATACATAGCATTGCACCCTTAACATTTTTAAAAGGTTTTGCAAATGCTTTCTCAAAATGTTAGTGTGAACTGAAAAAAGCCTTTCATCAGATTTCAAGCCGGCTGGCTTAACCCTGGATAGGAATGCATCCATTAGGGCTGAGGACAGACTGCAACATTTCGTTCTGGGTCTCACTCATTGTATAATATGTGTAAGTGGTATTTAAACATTCTATGGCAGATTAAATTCCGAGCAGATGGAGGAGAATCTTCAGCATTAGGTAAAAACTGAGTGGGCGGGCAGCTTAGATAGTGATCCTCGCTGTGAAAATAGGGGTGTTCTAGCTAATAAAAGAGCGTTTGTATTTTCATCTATGCAACGTTGAAGGGAGGAAGTCTTGGCATACAGAACAAAGAAGGATGGCCAGTTCATCTGTAAAAGGTGGGAAAGCTGGAATGAAGGGTGTGCTAGTGAACAAAACATCTTAGCTGTAATTTAAAACAGAAGCACAAAAGCAAGATCTGGCTTTATAACCATCCATTCTAAGTGCTCTGATATTACCGTCAAGTCAATTTCCATTTTTCACAATATATCTAATGAAACTGACAAAATGTGGCTGTCATAGCCATCATATAGCATTTCTAAAGAAACAATCCAAATGCAGTAAATCTGCTTTAGATGATTGAATGTGCCAAAACCAAATGTCATTAAAATGCCATAAAATCTCTCTAGACAAACATGTACACACACACACACACACACACAACTCCCCCAAGAATTAACACAGCAGTTTTAATCTTTTGTCTTAGCTAAAATGTTAAGGCTCATGAAGTACACCATTATTTGAGAGTCTGCAGAGCTAAAGACGGAGCCCTTACAAGTCCTTGTACCTGACGCACACAATCACCACAAAATACTCACACAGCAAAAATTCAAACTTACAGCCAGACCAAAATATAAGCCCCAACCCATCCACAAAAACATCTGATGGGCACTGTATCCAAACCTATCTGAGCTCACAGGGTGTACCCCTGTCACAACAAGGAGTTACAGTTCTAAAAGCCATGCAAAACAAGAGGAAGCATTTGTTTCCAGAGGGGGGTAGATCAGCAGAGCTTTCAGATGGAGTCTCTGTTGCCCTCCCGCCTTCTGGAAATAAGTGTTTCCATTACTTCCCAAGACGGCTTTTAGAACCTCCAGCTTCCTGTTGCTCAAAGGGGTGGTTCCCACTTGTGTAACAGATCCAGCAGGAGTGCGGCAGCAATATTGGGCTCTGCCCCAAGTCTATCATCATTAAAATTGTGTTTGGGGTAATGCCTGGAATCCCATTCAGCAATCATTTTCTCCAGACAACTATTTTGATTAGTGTGTGGAACTGGGGAGGAGCAAGGCCCCATATCCCCTTCTCCCAGAGGTGTACTGCAAAATCCCATTGCTACAGATGTTGTTGCAACCTGTTGCATCTGCAGTCAGGGATGGAAGGTCAGTGGTGTGCTGAAAACCTCTTCTGCATCTTGTTTTTTACTGTTCTCATTCTATCAGAGGGCAAGGAAGTTGCATTTGAGAAGGGGAAGATCTTCATGAAATGACTGTGAGAGGGGAGTGGGTTTCTTGTGCTTATTGTAGCTGAGGAAGTTAAGAAATGTGGGATGTTTTCTGAAAGGCTAGAGTATTCAACCCAAGGGTCAAATTCATTTTCAGAGAAGTCCTTGGAGGCCACATGTGTTGGTCAGCAAGGCCATCATCAAATGGGTGGGGTGAAAATATCAGCATATTTTAGCTTATGGCTCTTACTACCAGTGACTAAGACTTAGAATACACATTCCAACCTTTTAGGATTGGGGAAGCCCATGCAAAATCATTGGTTGATTGGGAATATTTATTAATCTGAAATGCTTTTAGGTATATGATTATGAATGGCAGCTGTTGATTGTTTGGAAGTGTGGTGTAAATTTTATGGTGTAAATTGTCTTAGTATTGTGAGCTGCTCTGAACCTTGTTTATCATGGAAAAGTGACAGACAGATAAACTAAAGGGGCATGGTGGCCACTTCAAAAAATCCAGAGGTCCAGACTGGAACTCCTAGTGGGCTCATTCTGGCTCCTGGGCTTGAGTTTCCACAGCCCTGGTGAAATAATTGCTTGCTCAACCGAGACCTGACCTTCTGGGCAGCAATAAAAAGGTGCATGTGGATCCAACATTTCCAGGCCTCTCATGGTGCACCAGACATAGAATTTGCTGCTTGCTAAGCCCATACACACCATTTTATAACGGGGACAGACATACTTCTCCAGGTGCCATGCAGATGGAGGCATGTGGGCTAGCTCTCTCCACTGTTGGAACCGTAACCATCTGTTGCTTCTCTGATGAATGCCCAGTGGACATTTGTGAGGATGAGCGCTCTGTGTGCCACCTGCTTAACCAAGGTGCCTCATGCATGTAGAAGTATTTGTCAATACGGCAAAAGGCAGTGTGGGCTTTTGGTACAGGTTGGAGTTAGTCTGCATTGCTCTGCATATTCCCTGAAGGGTTTCCATGAACTTATGAACCAGGCCCACATGGAAATCTTTTCCTTTAAAATGAATAGGACTCCCCACCCCAGCCAAAAATACTTAACTTTAGTTGGGTTCTATTTATTTAATTGAATCTACTTTCTCTTTCCCTCTGTCTCTGTTCAATTGCTACAGGTTTAAAATAGAGCAGACAGTGGACTTGGAAGAAACTCTTCAGCATCTCAACTTTACTGAGATATTTAAAAATGGATGTGACCTTTCTGGAATAACAGGTGTTTTGATTTATTATGCTCATATTGCTATTGTAAAAACATTGTCATTGTTTTCTTTTCTTACTGCCTGCTGTTATAAGACTGCTCAGTTTTTATCACATATTAGAATCCTTTCTTACATTACCCTGGACTTCAGGTAAAGAGGTAACAAGGAACTGTGTTTGGAAAAGAATTTCCAGAGCAATTTTGTCTCAAGTGAAATTCAAAGCAAATTTGGGATCACTCTCCATTTGAGGGATTCTGACGAAAGCTCAGAGGAGCCCAGAAGAACTAAGTACATTTCCCAGTAACTTTGTCCATTTCCCTAATTCTTAGCAGATTTCATTCCAGATGAAATTGAGTTTCTCCTTAGGAGAGCAAGAGAGGGAGAGAGAACAAGAACCGGAAGAATTTTCAAGTAAACAAGCATGCGTAAGAAATAAAACATTAGCCAAGTTATCTGTGAAGATCACCGATGATGTTTCCCTAGTTACTATCTCATAGAGCCAAGCTAGATATGATACCAAATGTGTCACTTGTTGCTGAATTATTATTATTAAAGTTTATAGATCAGGTGAAGTTGTCCCTCCAATTATAATCCCTTTAAAACACATTTATGCCCCCATTATTACGGAGCTTAGGCAAACTGTGTGTGTGTGTAATGGGACATGGCAGGGAGGAAAGGTTTAACACATCCTGATCATTTACCAGTTCTTTGCTAGGAACATGGTGCATTGGAAGAGAGTTTTAATCCTTTGACCCTGACCTGACACCTTCACCCCTAGCCTGAAATTGGCCCTTGTTGTTGGGACTGAGAAAAACCGTTGCTCTTGGCACACATTCACAAGGGGTTCAGGGGAGGGGGAGGAGGAGGAGCAGGGACCTTGGGATGGGGCCCAATTCCAGATGTTGAGACAAGAGAAGTGCAGATGCTTGTCTCAATGCCAGGTTGCCCAGGTGGGCAGGCAGCCTCTGGGAGCAACCAAGATGTACAGCTACTGGAGGGGGCTTGGGACAGGGGGATTTTTCAGAGGAAGACAAAGTGAGTATGGTTTGCAACCTGATGATGCAACATCAACAGAGGAGGGCAGCCCAATAAGAAGATCAGCACGCAGAGGGTTGTGCTCATTTCCAAAAGCCACCCCTCCCCAGAGAGGATGGGGCCCAAATATACAAATAAAATGAATTCCTAGAAGTAAATACTAAATGGACTTCAGTGAACTGCTCTGTGGATGCTCAGAGATTCATTCTCAGTGTTTGTGCTTCTGGAAAACACTTTGGTCAATAAAGAACATTTTGCCAGAAAGGTCCATGCCTTGAACGTGTGAAGGGAGAAAACATGGCTCACAACTCTTGTAGGGAAGTACTGTCACTCCTTCTAATGTGCAAGTAGTATGCCTAAAATTCATGAGGGATCTTTTGCACTTCCACAGTGCAGATACGGGCCTAACCTAGAAGTCCAACTATGCTTAGTTCAACTCTTCTGGTGGGAATTTGCACAGGTGAGGCTTTGACTGTGGATGTCATACTTTAGAAATATCTGCAACAAAAGATATAGTGAGTCGCTGCGTGATCCTGAAACTGAAATGAAAATGGTGTTGAAGTGGGAAGTGGTAACATGCTGGACTGTGGGACCATGCGGAAGCGTTGACATCATCAGGTTGTTCCACCTACATGAAAGGGACAGTATCCAATAACATTAATCTTCTCGTTCAAATGTATTGCTCCAGCAAAAAATACTTTTGGAACTGTGTACTGGAGGAGAATCCACCTAAAGTTATGTTTGCGCAGCTAGTTGTAAATCATGCTCACACAGCCTGTTGTGCAAGCAGAATGGGAAAATACCTGCACACGAGGAAGATTTGGCAGAGTGCCACTAATGCTATTTGAGCTTGCAAAATGAAACCACTGGATACTGCTGTGGAAGTCCATTCCTGTCGATGTGAACCTCAGGAGGATGTGCCCTCTTCCTCTCTGCTGGTTTTAATCCAAACAGTAACTGTTATGCAGTGAAGTGAGACAGTTGAAGAATATCCTTGGTTCAAGCAATCCATTTCCCCCCTCTCCTGTGGGGAATTTTATAGGAAAGAGTGGAATTAATCATTGAGATTTGTCACATCTGGACTCTTTATCATTCATGTCTTCCTTCAGATGCTGCTGATGCACACATTTCTAAAGCCATTCAGAAAGTCTGCATTGAAGTAAATGAAGACGGCAGTGAAGCTGCAGCATCTACTGGTAAGGCCATGACCAACGTCCAAGTCAGGCAAACACTAATCACCCTGAAATATGTGAACAGAAATGTCAATATTTGGGGAAAGCAGGCAAGGTAATGTGTATATTACTGAAAGAAGTATAAAACAATGCATTATATTAAGAAAAGTGATTAGGCAAAATTGCACATAAGATGGCTACATTAGAAGAATATGCACAGAAATGCACACACATGTTTGTGTGAGCCTTTAAAGACAGTCAACATTCAAGACACCCCCCCAAAAATTTGAAACATTCCCAGAGTTGGGGAAAAGAAAGCTGAGCAAACACCAAATTTGGAGATGTGTCCACCCCTAGTTCTCTTCACATGACTGGAGACCTTGCTATGCACTTGGTTCTTCATTGTATGTCAAGGCATGGAACATGTACACATACTGGCTCTTTCAAACCTTTGACTGGCAGTCCCAGCAGTGGGCACACATGGAAGGTTCCTACAACCACATGCGAATATGGCATCTTTGTCATGCTGAAACATTTTTGAAAGACAAATTTATTTTGCAACAATATCAAATGGAAGGAGAAACTCACCCCAATAATTTAAGAAACAGTCCTCATTTGAGAAGAGATGCTGATTGTATGAGTCTCTTAGTCCTCTGTTTCTCTGCCAACTGATAATTTAGGCAGAACACGTTTACCCCAAGGTGTGAGGTTCTAAAAGCCAAGACCCAGAGCAGTCATTTGTTAATGACGTTGATAATTAACGACCTTGTACCCATCCAGGCACTGTGGAAGACATTTAGTTCTTCTCCATAGTCTGGAGCAACGTAACATACATCACTTGCATATCTATAACCTTACAGCGGCAGTCGTATTCATTCTCCCTTTGGAGCAAGGGCTCCTGTCACCAAAGACAGGAGCCCTTGCTTCAAAGAACCTGTGCAGGAGACTGGGGATAGCATGCAATACTGACTCTGTGCTAGTGGGACCTCTCATTTTCCCAATGGGGACTTTGTGGCTCCTGGAGCAACAGAAATGGACTGAAGCTCTCATTTCCAAAAAGGCAGACCTGAAGAGCTTGCGCCAGCACAGAACCAGAAACAATTTCGGACCATTTTCAGACGGAATTGAAGGGTTATTTCTTCATTACACAAGTTGTAGATCCCACTTGCGGAATGGAACCAGCACAGGTGGAGCAGCCTCACTGGATTCTAATCTACGTTCTTGGCATAGATGCAATCCTTTCAGATGTCTTCTGCAGAAAGCCCACCAGATATCCTGGGCAATGTGCTGCTCCATGCAAGCCAGTACGTTCAACAGTCAGGGATTATGGGAGCTGCCGTTTAACACAACTGGAGCACACCAAGTTGCCTACTTGGTGATTTAATTTCTCTGAGCACTGGCCATTATGTAGTCTGGGGGCAACGGAGTCTTAGGAGGAAGATGAACTTTGCCCCCTGAAGCTAATTTTTTATCAAGGAGTCTTTTCTGCTCCCTATATAAGACTATGGGGCAATTCTTCATAAGCTAGTGGAGGACCTAGGGTGCTTCCAGGTGGAGGGCTCCTAGTGCTATCTAGCCCCAGTCCCACCTGAATGGACGCCTCCCTGGAGTTGTGACAAAGCTCTGCAGCACCATTCCTCTAGTGCCTGTGGACTTAGAAATAGAGCTAAGCCAAGAGGAAGTCTGCAAATGATCACAGGAAAAAGTTCGTGCAACCAGGAACTTCTTCCTATGCCACATCATGCCCAGTGCAAACAAGGCTGGGCAGCTCACCAGGAACCTGGAATCAGGGCTGAAACAAAGTGGACCAGGGTCCAGGGAGCCCAGCTCAGGGCATCTGACAGATTCCACACACATTCCTCCCCCTCCCCTTACTGTTCTCCACCGTGGTCACCAGCTGCTCTTGCTCTTTGCTCTTTCTCATCTCTACTACCACCTGGGAGCCTGAAAAGCAATGAAAAGCAAGAGTGGGTGAATGAGCAAGCAAGCAAGCAAGCAAGCAAGCAAGCAAGCAAGCAAGCAAGCACGCACGCAAGCACGCAAGCACGCAAGCACGCAAGCATGCAAGCACGCAAGCAAGCAAGCAAGCAAGCAAGCAAGCAAGCAAGCAAGCAGGGGCAACTGTTGCTGCTCCTTTTCATGACCACCATTGTCTGGGCCAGAGCGGCAGGAGGAGCAAATCTGGAGCTCTGATCAGCACTGCCCTTGATGCTGTCCTTGTTTTCTCCCTCTGTAAAATTCAGTGAATGAAGCACAGTGATGGCATAATGAAGCCCTTATTTGAAAATTCTCCTCATTTGTAATATGCCTGTATCACCAATCTTTTTCTATTACATCTTATGCACAAGGGGCAGAGCAATTTTTAAAGTCATATCATAAATAATTACCTGCACTTAGCAAATGTGTTAATAAGAAACTGAGCACAAGCTAATTTTACTTTCTTTGAGCAATGCAATCCACGAGTATGATGCCTTTTCAAAAAAAGCAAGCAGATTTTCTGTTAAGCACATTTTGTTATTTACACATCCCATTTTAAACTTTCGGTTTGATAAATGACTGTAGGGAAAGTAATAACTATAGTTAAAAGTGAATATCATCACAAATATGTCCTTCAAAAGAGCTTCAAAATGGAGAGCCATACCTTGAGATTTCAACTTCTTCAGCTCAATGCATCTCTAGCAGGTTATTATGCTTGATAGCTTTTGCTAAATCCCTAAAGAACACACCATATTATAAAACAATGGCATGGGGTATACGGATTTCTCAGTAATGGCTCAATTGCCTTTTGATGATTTGTAACTAAAGGGTGGGGAAGACTGGAGTAACTCATTTTCCACTTGCTAAGAGCTCATTTAGAACTGTAGGTGATCTGAAAAATGAAAGGCATTTCAGAGGATTTAACATCCATTCCTCTACTGCTTTGTACTTTGGATGCTGAACTGATGGCACATGGGGCCCAATCTGACACAAGACATGCTCTTTGTTAAGAAAAAGAATAGAGTCTTGCTAATATGTGACACATTCAATTCATCAATGATCAATGATGAATGATCATCATCATCATCACATAATGCTTTTCAAGGGAGTAACCTTCTTCACAGAGCTGCCACTCAGATGCAGAAATCAAGCAAAGTTCTTGTATGAACAAACCTTTAACATCTTTACTCAGCAGCTGGTTTCTTTGCATAGATATGCAGAATATAAGCAAGAGGATACATGTTATAAGGTTGCAGTAGCTTGGAATAGAGAAGTCCCAGCTAGGTCTTGGCTTCTGTGTATTACGTTCAGGCACTGTTAGACAATGGTGTAGCTAAGTCATTTTAGACCCTCGACTCAGTGGACCTATGGGGGTGAACTGTGTGTGATTTCAGTTATGAAGCACACAACTAATGTTCCTCTTTTCTCCACTTCAGCATCCACTTTATGCTTTACATAAAATGCTCCTATGTTTCTGGCATTTTACAATAACAATAACACTCTGAATAGGTTTTATGTTGTATGCCAGACTCACTCAAATCATAGCACCTACACAACTGCAGGAGTAAAATGGGGTTTGCTTTTGCTTTCCCTCATCACCTCCTATACTCTGGGAGGTCATTTGGACAGTGGGATGGATTTTCATGTGGGTCCCTGGACATTGACCCAAAGTCTAGCCCTAGTTTTTACCACTGCTGATATAGCTCTTAGCATATTTGAAGAGTGTTTTTATTCAAACAGAACTTATCTTTAGACACTCAGATTCTCCTGACCTTTCTAGGTAGCTCACAGCTTAAGAAATGCTGCTTGTTTCAGAACTACCATTGTCTATAAAATACCATGCCTTTGCTCTATAAAGTTCTATGAGACACATAAAATTTCACAGCTCAGTTGGATTCATAAGTCCAAAACTGAACTGCACATCCTTTCCCCCTTTCAAATGTTGCATCGTATAATTAATTATTTTCTGTGCACATGGACATATCAACATGCTTTCTGTGGATCAGGTGTGAAGCCTTGACTTCACCATTCATTCCTTGGTCTCCCCTGCTCCCCATAACAGATGGCTGCTCAGGATGTATTGCTGATCCTAATGCAAAGTGGTGGGGGAATGGAGGGAACGCAGCTCCTTCAGTTGTGTCCCTTTGGCCAAAGCTCCAGTTCATCTGGTCATCTTCCCACCCTGACTACTGTACAGATAAGTCTCCTCCATTTGCCATTGCATCTGCCCACACAAACTCCTTTAAGGTTCTCTGAGGCATCTGCCTAGCACCAGGGATGCGGCTGGGTACCCAAAAAATATAGGCGCCCAGGCCCATTGGAGCTCAATCTGCAAATTTAGATAGAATTACTAGGATGTATTTAAATTTCGCAGAAGATTAAGCCAGACAATTGATTTCCTATCCAATGCATACAAAATAAAATATATTATTTAATTAATTGCATCCTGCTCTCCCCACATCATCCTAAATTAGAAATTCTTTAGTTTCAGTTAGTTTATGAATAAGGAATGGATAGTAGGTTTAATAAAAAAATAGATGAGTCACCCAAGTCTTCTCCTCCATGCAATTAAGCTTTTTGATGTGACATCATGTAAGGTGGGGGGATATTTAACCCTTTCTTTCCCTTGCATGACAATTTACATGAGGAAAAACTGTTTGATTGGGACCAGTGGACAGCCAGGGCTCTGGAGAAATGATCCAGGCACTGGGAAATAGATTTGGGCCAGAGCTCTTTGGGAATAGGTCTGTCTGTATCCATCTTCCATTCCTTATTTCCTGAAATATGCTTGTCCAGTGGCACTTTAAAGTGCTTGATTTTGGTTGGGATATATACCTATGACACTTCTGGGCAATGTGTGGCCCTCCAGGTGCTTTGGTCTACAGATCCCAATATTTCTAGCTGAAACAGCCAATTCTGAACTTAGAAGTTGCAGACCAAAATTCCTGGAGGTGCTAAGTTGCCCAGCCTTGACATATGATTTTAATTGCTAAAATGAATGGTTTTTTTTCCAGTATGCCAGTAGCATCACTCAGCCAAAAGGCAGTTTTCTCTCAGCTGGAAAAATGCTGTGCTTGGGAAAATATTTGATTAATTCTCAGTCACAGGGCCAAATTGATCTTATACTGGCTTGCATTCTACACTGCATGCTTACTCAGAAGTAAATTCAGACTTTAAACTTAGTTCCATGAGGCTTACTCCTGAGTAAGTCTATACAGCCTGGCAGTGCAAATTATGCATGTTTTATTCTGAATGAAGTTCCACTGTTTTCAGGGCTGTGGCCTTAGAATATTAACATACCATTGGCAGTTAATTGGCACTGATGTTAAGTGAGAGGAGGGCACAGTTTAGACATTGTGTTTACCTAGGAAGGTCCCCTGTCAATCTTGTTGGAGATTGATCAATTGATCCATCCATCCATCCATATCCTCCAGTATGAGAGGCACTATGTTTCTGCATGCCAGTTGCGGAAATTCTGGGCATTGTGTGGGCATCTGATTGGCCACTGTGTGAACAGACCTCCCCCAGGCATGTTTGGGAATTTGCTGTGGTACCACCACAAAATGTCTAGTCATTGCACTGACACCTGCCTGTCTTGTCTGCAGATTCCATGCTATGTCTTGTGCAGAAAAGGCTTTTCTTCCATATCTTTTGGATACCACAACATCTCTTTAATAAGAGATGGTCTAATTCAACTAATTGTTGATGGGGCACTACTGTGTTCTCTTGCCTTAAACATGTATTTTGGCAATGCCTGAAGGTTGCTGCTTTTTTTGAGAGAAGGTTATTATGCAGATGCATTTTGTATTGGAATAGCCTTCATTATTCACTCATATACATGCTGTTTTCAATTATGTAAGTGCTTCATGGAAATTAACAAATGGAAGGGGTAATGGGTTTTCTGCACCATTTTGACAACTAAAAACTGGTCTGAAAGGATAAAAATTGGAAGGGTAAAACCTCACCTCCTATAATGCCATGGACAATGTGTTGGATATACGAACTGGTGACATATAAGTGCCAACTTCAAACAGATACTCATTTGGATACTTTGTGCATTTTTCTTGAAGTCTGTCTTTAATTACTAGAACATTTCATGCATTTTTTAAAAATCCATTAGTGCATATTTTTTAAAAATGCAGGAGAAAAGAAAATTAGGTGCCTGCACGCACCATGCTGAGGGGCCCTGAGATACGTCTTTGGTATGATCCAGTGTGGCTCTCCTTATGCTGTGTTAATGTAGGAGAGCCAGCCTAGCTACCAGTTCCATCCATTAAACTGCTTTATACCTTGTGAGACCTTGTCAGATCATGAGCCCATCCAGTCTAGTGCTGTCTTCTCTGCTTGCTGGTGTCTCTCAAACAGCTCAGGGATCTTTCCTGTCACCTGCTATTTTCACTGAAGATCCTACAGCCTGGACCTGGGAGAACTTCTCTGTGTAATACCACTCAGCTATCCCTCCTCCCTCCTTGCTCACAGTGATGGTGTTTCTTTGTTTGCCTGACTATATCTTGCAGGTATGCATGTTGCGGTCATCATGAGCATGTCCCACCGCCAGTTTGTGGCTAACCGACCATTCTTATTTCTCCTGAAGCATAACTCAACAGGTGAGTAGAGAAGCAATGTATCTGTTGATAGAGGCAATGAATGGATTAGCAGATCTTTCAGAAATGTTCAGTGTTCCTATTCTGATTGAAGTCATTTTTGGATCGCTTATGGGACCAGCACTTGGAGAGAGAGCAGCCACAGAGCAGAGGGGTCAGCTCACGAAGGCTGAAAATCCAGGCTCATAAGGACAAGCAGCATCCCCAACAGTGGTGTCGCCAAGCGAGTTGCACTGCAAACCCCCATAATACACTTTTATGTAGGGAAGGGCTAATGCAAAGGATCCTGCAGCACCTCTTCAATTCCTCAGCTGAGGAAAGTGTGCCAGTGTTTTTGGTCCATGCATTGCAGCACAAGCTCAGAAATGCATTCAGTTTCCAGTGGAGGAAAGATGATCCAAAGGAGCAACAGCATCCCTAGTGCAGGAAGCCCTATGCATGAGCAATGGAGCACACAGTAGTTCCTCCTCAGATGTCCACACAACACAGTCCCTGGGGGAGGGGGAGAGTGGGAACAGAGGCGCAGCCCTACCACTGGCTTATGCATGAGTAATATGGGCATATGACCACCACAAGAGGTGGGAGGGGTGTACAGTGATTAATCCTTTATGAGATGGACTTCTCCCATGCCTCTCTACTGTAGAAGTGCAGCCATCTGGAGTGCACTGACTTATCAGCTTAGGTTTTTATTTTCTTAAACAGTTGGCAATGTTAATTTCTGAGCACTGCAAATCTTCCCCTGAGAGAGGCAGTTGGCTCAGATGGCTTGGAAAGTAATGGGTTTTTACAAAGAGCTGAGACATGCTATTCCACAGGTGGAAGCCTTCATAATCGGATTAATCCAGATCAGTTGGTAGACTAAACAATTTTGTGGGGGTTTTTAGTTGACTTTCAATATGGCAAGAGCTCATTAGCCCACAAAATCCAAACCACTCTTCTCCCACTGGGCAAAGGTTGCCAAGAAAGAGGATAGAGAAGTTTCCCAAGCCCTCTCTTTCTGGATCATTCAGTCTGCTAACTTCGGCTAACAGCTGGCTGAAAAAACCCTCAGGGCAGTTTCACACATTCTGCAGTTATGTCCCCAATGCATCACCAGCTGCACACTCGACAGAGAACTGCAGCCAGTTACTTGACCCGTGTGACAGGAATGTCTGCAGCATCCATACTTTACAATAGGCCTATTCGTGCATTTTGCTATGTGGGAGTCCCGTCATGTGGGTGGGGGAGAGTGAAGATGTGCTAATGAGTCCATCCTCTCTATGACATCTCCACTTCACTCCACGTGCTTGAAGGGTGAAAGTCTGCAGCAGGGAGCTCCTGGACCCATGTAGGTCCCCTGCTCGATTTTGAACCTGGGTCCTACAGGATTCTATATTGCACAGGAAAACTATGTTCCTTATTTTGCTCTTTTAAACCATGATGTAAACTGAAATTCAGTTATCCTCCAAAATTTGCACTTTTCTGAAATTTGCAAAGGAGCTGTCCAGTTTAAAACCTGCATACAAAATCCACATATTACAGGAAATAACATTCAAGTTTCCATTGAATCAGAAAGAACAATGGCAAATATGTATATTAGGCAACACTGCATGCAAAAGTGCATGCATTTGGAGAAAAGTTCACAAAAAGGATAATGAATTTTCATACAAACATGTTTTGTTTTTAAATGTCAACATTTAGGATGAACCAGATCCAAAACCAGAGAAATTTTTGAAGTTTGAGGTGAACTGAACATATCTGGGAAATAAAAGAGAGAGAAATCAGACCTGGCAAGTTTGTCCATCCCTAGCAAAAGGGGCCACAGGGCAGTTCTCATGGATGTGACCAGGTAGTGGGGGCATCAAGCTGTGGCCTGTGCTCCCTTCTGCCATGATTGGAAAGGGATGCACAGGGCTATTGTTAGGTCTACATGCAAAATCTGGGGATCCCCTTATGGAGACAATTTACTCAGACAACCCTTCTGCTTCAACAAATAATTCCATAGTGATTACTCCAGGCAGGAAACAACTACTTCAGTGTCTGCAACTTGTAAGTAAACACGAACCCTGAATTAGTGTTTTATGATGTTGGCCAAGAATCAAAGTATCTAAATTAACCTGCTGCTTTAAATTGAGGATTAGGATAAGTGACGGTTTGTTTTGAGTGAAGAATATTGGTTACACTGAAGAAGAGGAATTAGTGTTGTTTTTAACAATTAGGATGCTCTGAGAATTCCAGGAGGGTGAAAATCAAACAGATTCAGCTCCCCTACCCCCCACCCCAGGATTTTGTCCATTTCCTTCTGTTGGTATCAGCTGGGGTTGTACTGAGCTGAGGCAGCTTGTGGACTTCATTTTTTGCACAATTTAAAAAAATGGTCTTGACATTTGTGCAAATGGTGTTTTTCCTTCTCCTTCTTTGTGCATCTTAGGAAGCTATGCACACCTGGCCTTGTGAATATTGTGAGAAGCTTCCCCTGACAAAGAGTACGCAAAATTATGAGAGCAGTATAAAACAAGGCCACAAAGAGATTGCAGATCAATAACGTGTTTCTTGGTCTCTCCCAAGAGCTGTCAAAAGATGAGCTGTCAACAGATTTGTCAGCCCTCAGAGGAAAATAAGCAACAAATTAATGTATTTGTTGCTTTCTTGAAATCAATGCTCCTGACCAATGCCTGCTGTACTTCCATAGGAGGCACTTCCCATAGGAAGTGCAAAGGAGGAATTTCATTTCGGACCCCTGTAAATATTCAAGTGTGTATTTGTGAAAGATCTCTTTTAAATGCAATTTGTGCAAATTAACATTTGCACACATTTCATAAGCACTTTTAAAAAGTGCCTGAAATACTGAAATCGGTTCCCTGTTTACCCCTTCCTCTGTTGTCTCCTTCGCATCTGTTTTTAGATGGTAATCCAGTTGAAGCAGAGACTTATCTTCTCCTTCTTTGTAAAGTCACTTGTACATTGATGGAAACATTATTATTATCTTGTCCCATGAATACTGTAATGCAATATGTTTTACACACTGGACATGTTACACCCTGTGTTAAGGGCTTTCACTGGCCTGTGGGAGTATCCATCACTCTCCCTGTACCCAAGGATATCCCTGAAAGCAACATCACGTCATTAGGTAGCATTGTTTCCATGGGGCATTATGTCCTAAATTACAAAAGGGGCTCTGGCTGGGTTATCACAGGCAACCAAGATGCCACTTCAAGTGGTAGCAAAGCTCTTGTTCCCCCCAAACAGATAAGACAAATGCCTTGGTTATTTAAACTTCAATCCCTACCTCTGAATTAGCCAGTCACTGATCTTTGCTGTTGTTATGTGCTGTCACATTGTCTCCGACTTATGGCAACCCCATGGATGAATGCTTTCCAAAATATCCTACCCTTGCCAGCCCTGCCGGGCTTTTGTAAATTCAAGGCTGCTGCTTTGTTTATACAGATGGTACATTCCATATTTGATCTTCCTTTTCTTCTTATCTTCTCCAGGGAGTCGTGCCTTTGTATGATATACCTGAAGTATAATAGCCTCACTTTTGTTGATGTTGCTTCTAGGGAAAGCTCTGGCTTGATTCCTCTCCTTTATCTTTCTCTTGGTCCAGGCTATTTGCAAAGCAATCCTCCAACACCCATCATCTTCCTGTCAGTTTTCCTCATTTTCCAGGTTTATTGGATTTATATCCTGCCATTTTCTTTTTTAAAGAACTCAAAGCAGCTTCCATAATTCTCCTCCTCCTGCTCCCAATTTTACCCTCCTAACCAGAACCCTGTGAGGTAGGTCAGACTGATAGTCTGCAACTGGCCCAAAGTCACCCACTTGGCTCGATGGGGACTAGAACCCAGACCTCCTGAGTCCCAGACCTGTGTGCTTAATCACGACACCACGCAGGCTTTTAGTTTTCACACCCATACTGATAATCACTGATAATTCACTGATAAACCTCAATTGTCCATTATTCCCTCCTCCACTTTCTTGGGGTACAAAAAGTCCTGTGAAAATACTGGTGGATGGGAGCCAATATTCAGTCTGGGCTCACCTATTCAGGGTGGAATCCTGTGCTTGTTTGGAGAAATGCCAGGAAACTGTAGGCCTCTGCTCTCCCTAAACAGGAATTGGATTGACCCAGGTACATACCATGGGGAATTGGATTGACTGAAGCTACCTTGACCCAGGTACAGATCATAGGGAATTTCTGCCTGGCTGTGGATTTCTGTGGTATATACCCCACTTCCCATGTGTGTGTGGATATATGTGTAAGACTTCCACACTTATCATACAAGGAGAACAGAAAATGACTTCTAAACATAAACTGGAACTGACTGTTACTGGCTTGTTAGCTGTAGGAGAAAATAGGGCAGGAAATTCTTCCCCCTTCCCTTTTTATTGGCTCCATAACATTTCACAACTAGTACTTAGTGGAGGGAAAATCTGCATTACAGTTTTATGTTTTTTGCTAAAATCAAACTGCCCAAAGTAACCTGCTGCTTTAAATTGAAGACTAGAGATGAGTGGCAGCTCATTTTCAGGAAATAATGGTGACAGCAATAAAGAAAGGAAATTACTGTTATTTTAAGCAATTACACAATCAGTATTTTTGTTACAGTAGCTCCTACACTGAATTACTGATAATATGTCATAATGGTAGACAAGCTTTATTAAAGCTGATGATAACCTTAAAGCAACATAACTGGAGCCTTAGGAATTAAGTGTGTGTCTATATCCTAAATGTTTGTGGAAAACTGATATGTATATGCAGTTCTTTCTTCCAAACTACCATGGTTTGAGAGTGTGGATGGACCCAAATTTATGTTTGCCTGCCCAAAATTGTCTTTTAAATCTATTTGCATTGGCTACAATGATGCAAACTGCATCTTCTAAGTTATTCAGAATGTGATAGGTGGGAGCACGATCCTCCCCATATATTTGACCAACACATGAAGGAGTCACAGGACCTGGTGAGCTAGCCCTTCCCCTACTGTCAATGCAGCCATGTGTTCAGAGGGGCAGAAGAAACAGCC